GTGGAACAAACTAAAACTCTAGAACATCAAATATATGGGAACAGAGGGAGTATATCATTAAAATTTGTTTCGGTTCGCGGGACCTCTAAATAAAACAGTGATGCTTCATTGTTCAATATTTTACTTCAATAACTTTCAAATCTAAAAATGTTTAATTTGTTAAATCGGATGTACATTCAGTAAGATAGTTTGTTTGAGAAAACAAAATCGTAAGTTTGATGATGTTAATGACATGAATTGGTGATGAATTTTATCGAAGGTCGCTTTCCTCTGGACTTTGTTAGGATCGAACGCAACCAAACATTTTATTTGGTGATTGTAAAGTTATCTAAGGCAACCAAAAATTTTAACCTCAACATTCACATTATTTTACTAATACGTTTTTCTTAATTTGTAATGAAAAATTATGAATTTGAGACTATCTTTCAAATTCAAAAGTTTATATTACTAGGTTTGTTAATGAGTTTGGTACTAGATGTCATCTCATAATTTTACCGCATTCATCACTAGTAGTTAGGTGATATTAATGACCATTACAAAAAAGGTGTGTTGCATCAATTAATTTATGTAAGAAAAAATGATATTAATATCTACTTTAACATTAGTTACAACATTGATGCCATTATTGATTAGTTTGGTATCCATTTATAAAATTGATACAAATATATACTCTCTCCGTATCAAAAAAATCGATTTTATAGAGTTTTCACACTAATTAAGAAAACCATTTAATGTTTAGTTATAAATGCATAATTTATTCATACCAAACCATTTTTCATATTAACCAATAGTAATTCATCAAATTTTAGAATTCTCAATTAATGATTCTTGAAATTCACAATTTTTAACATTAATTGATAAAAATTGGGAAAATTGGAAATAAATGATATCTACTTAAAAATTTGTCCATATATCCCTTTTTCTTATAGATTGGTCAAATAGGTTTTTTAAAAATAAAAACCCAACTTACCCTTATTTTCTCTCAAAATTAATAAAAAAATTGATTTTAAAAATAAAACTTCCTAATCAATTCACAAAAATTAAATAAAAATCTAAAAGGTTAAAACTTCCACTTGAGAAAGAATCTTAAAACCCAACTAATTTCTTCAATCGATTTTCAAATTTTTGACTAATTAACTAATTCATTCAAAGTTTCTGTATTTCTCTTGTTTACTATGAGATACGACTTTTTTTTGTCTGCTGTGAAACGAAATTTTATTTTATTTTTATTGGTTTCCTATAAAAAGAAAAAAATATGTATTAGAGTGTATATTCTGGTTTAGTTCACATTTTGACTTGAAAGAGTAAATGTTTTTCTTCACATTATGACATTACCTCTGCAGCCACTGGCAAAGGCGTTTATAGAATGACGTTCGCAATTTTGTCCAAAAAAAAGAAAAAAAAAAGAATGACGTAATAAATTTCCAGCGATATCTTTTAAGGCCATGGCTTTGTGTGTGTTTAGACTGCCTCAGACTATAATCTTCAGAACCCGTGTTTTTAGTAGAATTCGAATAACGTTCCTCATTGTAATTTGAAGGAAAACGTGTTCTTAGCTTTTTAGAAAAAAAAGTGGTGGACAACGACTTAGATGATTACGAGTTTAGGGTTTGGAAAACTTTTTAGGTTTAATTTTGTCTAAAAAACGTAGACAACGACTTCTACATCTTGTAGATCGTAATCTAAACAATAAATGTTCATTTAAAACGTAATCTCAAAAATATATTTTGTTTCTTTTTTTGAAGATTTACTTTCTATATTTAGAGCATTCTAAAAATTTAAGATAACGAAATTTACAATATCGTAGAATTTACATTCTAAACGAAGATTACAATTTCTAACGATGGCAGAAGATGTAAAAATTAGTAGAACGACTATTCTAAAATATTTAGAACATAGAGCAAAGCGTAGAATGCATATTCTAACTATTTTAGATATAGGATTTTTGGACTTCTAAAATTTTCAGAACATAATTCTAGTCTAAAATATGTAGAACATGTACAAAAATGCAGAATACACACTCTGAGTTTCGCAGAACTCTAGAAAACATGTTCTAACAAAATTAGACGAAACTTTATCTATCAAAAATTCAACTTTTTTTTAGCCAAATCTAAAAAAATTCACTTCAAATCACCTCTACTCTTGTATATCTACCTGTTTTTCTGATTATTTTTTTTAAATATTTAAAATAGGGTGTAGGGATAGTTTCGTCTAAAGTGACAATCTCACCAAAGGTATACTGTATATGGATAAATTTTTAAGTAGATTTTCTTTTTTTTCAATTTTCCCACAAAAATTTACAGAAAATCAATTTTTTTGATACAAAAATAAAACCTCAAAAATCATTCTTTATGATACGGAGGGAGTATCATTTTACATCACTTTCACTATATGATACAAAATATGTTTTTCACTAGCTTCTACGGATTCATCAAGGTAAACAAAACTCTTTAGAAGATAGTAAAATTAATTTTTAAAGCAAATGTTAACTAAATCATCTAAAATTAAAAACAAGCATTTGCCATCGCCTCCAAACTTTGTTTTTGAAGTAATGTTCTTGATATTAGTATGCCTAAGCATCTATAAAATGTTTTTGATTTTATAACTCCGCCTCATCGGATTAGTTGTGAATGCCATTGTTATAAGTGTATATGATTTCAATAAAATGTGAGATGGAGCGAACACTCGCTTCGTACAATTAAAACTTTTATTCAAAGCTCGTTAGCATCTTCTGAAATATATGAACGATGAATGTCGTTTTTCTGCGTAATTAATGGTAGAAAGAACAAGAAGAAAGAAGACACTGAAGAAAAACAGGATGGAGATTTTTGGTTCTTTCGAATTCAGCATTTTCCTTTAATAATTCGAGAAACAATATTCTTATTCCCATATATGTTACTATAAATTTACTTATACTCTAGATCTAACCAAGATTTTAGTTGTAGTAAGTATAAATCTTAAAATTTATCAATATCGACGTCATTAGAACGATGTAAACCTTCCGCATATCTAGTTCATGACACAAATGATCTAAGGCTCTAAGCCATCGCTTAAGGCAATTGTTACAATTTGGATCTCTTGGAGCCTCTCATATTGTTATATTTTTTTGGGTGAAGTTGGTAATTTACAATCATTTTTGTTGTTTAAATTTCTTAATTCAAATATTTATTTCTATGTTTATGCAAATATTTTGCTTATCTTTTGCTTATATTTTTTGTTTTTCTCAACTTGTTTTCTTTCTTTCTTATTTTAGCATTTGCAACAACTATAACATATAGTTGGAGTTGTTATTATAAAACAAATCATTAAATTCTTTGAAAAATAATACGATATTTCAAAAAGATATTTGATATATATATATATATATATATATATATATATATATATATATATATATAAGCATCTCCATCCCTTTTCTTTCATTTTTTTACTCTAAAATGTAAATCTAATTTGGAGTTGTATTTTTCTTCAACTTAAAGCCATGAGTTGAATGATTGTACGTGTAAATGATCTCCGCCAAGTTTGAAATGGATATGACATAAGCTTCGTACCACTGAGATTTTTTTCTTGAAGCTTCTTGGCATCTTCTCAGCCATAAACGATAAAACTTCAAAATAGAGTTACTTCATTTTAGAGTAAAAAATAAAAGAAATAGTTGGATGTGCTTTTATATGTATGAGATGGATCGACAGAAGCTTCATACCACTAAGATTTTTCCTTGAAGCTCATTGGCATCTCCTCAGCCATATGAACGATAAAAGTCATTCGTTTTGCATAGTTGATGGGGGAGAGAACGAGAAGAAACAAGAAAGAAATAAGACGAAAGAGAGAAACATGGTTCGAGATTCAAGCTCAGCATTTTAAGAAGTGGAGAGAACGATTATATTCCCATAAATGTAAATACACACTCACTAATACTTACAAAACAAATAAATTGAAATGGAAATTACGAATTTGAGATTGATTTTTCAAATTCAAAATTTATATTACTAATTTTGGTGAAATAGGGTTTGTTTCTTGGTACCAGAGGCCACATGATAATTTACCAAATTTCATCACTAGTAGTTGCTGAAAGAGTTTTATAATGGGTTTGTTCATTTTTATTTCAAAAATAAAACTCTTCATTTATACGAAGAATTTATTTTGTGTAAAACAGTTTTAAAAACAGGTGTATTGAATAAAAGATTTACAGGATTTTTAATAAAATGACAAATCCTATGTTATTCAAACATGAACTTTAAAATGTCTTCTAAATTTAAATGTTAGTGGATTAGTAATTTTAAAATATACAACCAAATCCATTGTAATTGGAAACATTTTAAGTAGTTGATTTGAAGTGATTTGAGTAATTTTAGGTGAGATTTAAGAGAATATCTTAGTTAAAATACAAAGATTCAAATCCCATGGTTTGATGTGAAATTTCAGAGAATTTTAATAACAGATTTTCTAAGTCACCAAAATCATCCCAAAATTCATGAAAACTCAAAGCACTCTAAACTCTCCTTCAATACACCCTCTAAGATAAAATGATGTGATATATTAGTTAAAAAAAATCTTGATAAAAATATATATTAGTTTTTAAGTGAGAAAAAAATTCATGTCGCCAAAAAAATCAAAACATTATACATATTGTAAGTTATTTTCTCATAAAATTATGTGGATTTGTTTTTTACTTTTTAGTATATAATGACATAATTAAATTTAGTGAAAATGGATAGTATTGTAATTGGATTTAAGAGGAAATACACGTGAAAAAAGGAGATATGTCACCTCTTATCTTTTCAAAAATTGTGTTTAGATGAAACTTTACTTTATTATATAAGATTATTAACAAAAAATTTTAAATTTATAGTAAATAAATAGCTCAAGAAATTTTATCTAAATAAAAATTATTATATAAATGTTGGTACTCTATCTGTTTCATTTTATTTAATTTTCTGTTATTATTATTATTATTTTAAAATACCCCCTCCCCCCAATTAATATTATATATATTTTTCTTGGTAAAGGCCAATTAATAGTATATATTACATTGATTAGGTTTCCCTATATATCTGCTATATATATTGACCAATCCCAAAAAGATATGAAATTAGATTTTGATTCGCTTTATACACCATTACATCTTTCTTTTATTTTTTTTGGGTCAAACCCATTGATTCTTTCTTTTAAAAAATTGATTTTTTCAGTCAACAATAATTACATTAATTAGGTTTCCTAATAAGCCCTAGATATTCTGCTATATATTGACCAAACTAATGCAAAAATATATTATAACTTACATAATTGTAACTTGAAAGTATCATCGCACAAACAAAATGAATCGTAGTTGTCCGATCTTTGGTCCTCCGTGTCAACGCTGCAGCTGTGCTGGCATTTCGTGCCAACCTCTATTTCCAGGTATATTGTTTTTATCTTTAAGTTTTTGTGTTCTTATTTCTTATGGTTCATAATCATATGGTAGTAAGATTTTAGTGTAAACCATCAATTTTTCTAACCCATAATTTTTCCGTGTGTAATATGGTTATATATATTAGAAAATTAGGATCTTGACCATTAACCAGAAATCATTTATTATTGTAATTAAAAACAAACTAAAAATGAAACGATTATGTTTTATACAAATGTGAAATGTTTAGAGTTGTCTATTTCAAAAATAAGAAGTGAAACATATGGAATGATTGTGAGCAGGAATGAAGGTGGAATGGCCAGAACTAACAGGAGTAAGTGGACTTGAAGCTAAGAGAAGAATCGAACATGACAATCCAAAAGTGGTGGCTGTTATCATTCCCGATGATGTTGCTGTGGTAGCCATCAATTGTTGTAACCGTGTCATTCTCCGTGTTCCCGTTAACAACTGTCCCAATGGTCCTGTCCTTAATATTCCTCACGTCGGATGAGGAAACTATATAATCTTCCTCATGTCGGGTAAGGAAACTATGTTGTTGTTTTACCCATTTCCGTTATATCTTTTGTTTCAATAATTTCCGGATAAGTATTTTTATTCTCTTCGATTAAAAAAACTGGTCTGATGGTAATGTTTCTTTGAATAATGAAATTTGGCATATTAAGTTATATTTTCGCATATTTACAACACATTTTTTTGGTTTAACTTTTTTTTTTTTTTGTATGTGGTTTAACTTTATATATGCTTACACTGTTTGGGCTGTATTTGACTATTATTAACTCTTATCAACGATATTATGTTTAACCATCAAACATAAATTTCCCAAATCGTAATCTCAATGCTACAAAAAAATATAAAACAATCATTCGCCCAACGAAAAGATTGCATATTTTGCAAGAAAAAAAAAGAAAAAGGAAAAAAAGGTTGCATATTTTGCAAGAAAAGAAAAAAAAAAAAAAGAAAGAAAAGATTATAATTTGTTGGTTTGGTACGTTCAGAGATTGGGCCTTATGAGACTTGATTGAGCCCATGAATATCTTCTTATCTTATTTACGATTCATGCCCAAACACTCTCTCCGTTGGGCATAAAACAAATAAACTCATTGTGCAGTGAATTCCTATGGAACATTTTTTTTTTTTTTCATCAAACTCCATTAACTTAAGTTACCATAAACGAAAACTCTCCTCTAGAGAGAGCACGTCGGAAACGGTAAAACTTACATGGGAAAGAAATGTCCACGGGCTTTTAACTAGAAAGACAACCCGGGCAAAGCTAATACAATAAGCAAAATACAAACTAGGGGATAGAAAAGATGGTCTAGAAACCCAAACACTAGCAAGAAACGCCGTGAAGATAAGATGCCACTCGAGAAACTTGTAGTCCTGAGTAGTTTTGAACTTCCATACTTGCTCCTTAAGTGCCAAGACACTCGCTCCCTGAAAAGGGTGGTCGCAGGTAGGACGAGAGAGAACTCTCGCAATCCAAGGGACGCGGACGTCACCTAGGTGATGAAACAGATACTGAAAAACTTCGTGTAACGAGCATGAGATAACCAGATATAGTTTAATATAGCTTGTTGTTAACAGGTGGAGCCGAAAGATAGAGTCTGCCACAGTGAAGGTAGTGGAGATGGCAAGGATCTTCGGGAGGGAAGTAGATGGTGAAAGGGGTCTCTCCCGAAAATAGGAAAACAGAAATACTAGTCTCTCCAAAAAGGAGGAAAAAGAGCACATAAGTCTCAGTCTCACTGCAAGGGAGGAATTCGGAAAGCCATAGATGTTATCCGAACATAGATCCTCAAAAGCCCAAAAACTATTGTTTCTTGATCTAACATAGGCCCAACATTCAGGTAAGTTAGAACAGGCCCAACAGTCAATTATGTTAAAACAGGCCCAATATTGACACATACTCTCTTGACCTAATCTTAATTTGACGTTGAAAGGTTGACGGCGGGATAACTTCACCGGCGGTGCAGCTTCATCGAGAGATTGGCCTGATCTGCGAAGTAGAGAACGGCGGTGAAGATTATGGTTAAGATAGTCTTCGGCTATGGATGCCGAGAAGTTAATCGTGAAAGCCGAAACGACCGGCATCACCCGGCGGTTTTGCTTCCAGCGGCCGACGGCGAAGCAACGTAGAGACCAAGAGCACCAGAAAAAATCTTCGGGTGTAGATCCCGAGACATTGAGCAAAAGAAAGGAGGCGACAGCAAAGATCCCGAATCGGAGAGGCTCGTCGGAAAGAGCTCTGGTCCTAGCCGCAGCGGAGGATTCCGGTAAGTGGTGAAGGTTGACTGGGGAGGGATCTTCCGTTTTGACGACGGAGAAGGGAGAAAAGCGGTGTTGAGAAAGGTGGTGGCTGCAGGGGTTGAATGGTGGAGGATGGCGAAGATGAGCAAACGTTCTTCGGTTACAAGCCGAAATTAGATTTTCTTCTAGGGAGAAAGGAGGGACACCGGAGAAAAAAGAAAGGGCGGTAGTGGAGAACAGCAGCCCACGACATACCCTCCGAGGCTGGTTTATTGCGAGGGTGACGAAGAACAAACGGAGATGAGGAGTGTTGGAGTGGTTTTCCGTTGGAAGAGGCATGGCGGTGGTAGGAGGAGAAGATCTTCGGGGATAAACCGAGAAAAACTCGTCACTGAGGACGGAGAGAGGACAAGAACCTAGCCGGAGGAAGGCTCTCGTCGGAGGAACACAATCAACCGACACGAGATCCGGTGTCTGTGTCCATTCCTCGAGGCCGAGAGAGCAAAAAAACAGTTGAAACCATTGCTGAGAAACTGCGGACATGATTAGAGGGGCGGTGGCCCGGCACCGGTGAGCCAAAGCTCCACCGGTACCGGAGGGCGGAGATCTGGTGGCTGCCTCGATTACTTTTCTTTAATACTACATATGAAAATTTTTAAGGTTTTTGGTTTAATATTCCTATGGAACATTCTGAAGTTTATCAATATACTTTTATCTTCATGCCAAACTCAATCTGTGCTACAAGCTACATGGTACCTACAACAGAAAAGTGTTAGATGGGAATGTCGACAATGACTGGATTATATAACAAAAAGGAGAAGCAGAAACAAGCTTGGGTTCTCTAACAAGAGAGATATGATTTACCCATGGACCTTAAGGCAGTTGTTGGAAATGTTCTTAACCGGTGCCTGACCAAAGACAAGAGTCTCGAATTTGGGATTGCAAACCTCTGTAACTCAGATATGGAAACAAGGAGTCACCTATTCTTTAGATTTCATTATAACTGCGGTTGCCAATTAAAAACTCACCAGAAGATCCTCCTTCTCCTAGCATGGCAACAACAACCCTCAATGGACAGAAATAAATCACCAAAATCTCCAAATCTTTCGATCTGCTCCTTGGGAAAATTGATGTCACCATCCGGAACAGAGCAACCAGTTCATTAAACTTATTTCTCATTAATTTGAAATTTCCAACCATTCTAGTATTCTTTTAAAAGCAACTTTATGTAGTAAAATTCATCAATTTGGTTCTCAGCTTGGTCTGTTTTTACCAGAGATACACACTCATGTTTCCCAACAAAAGAGGAGCAACACGCATAAGGGACCAAGCCGAAAAGACAATGTATCAACTTATTATGGTTACGATATTTTTTGGCTTGGGTTGGCCTTTGTGGTTTGTGTGGTTTATGATGCAAGCAACAAGGAGAGAGATGCATATGCGTGCAATGCTGATAAACCAAATGGAAGCAACACAACAGGCTGAGAGAAAGAGCATGAACAAGAGTCAAGCATTTGCAAATGCTAGCCACGATAATAGAGGTGCCCTTGCAGGGATCAAAGGTCTGATTGATATATGTCGTGATGAAGTTAAACCAGGCTCTGACGTAGATACCACTCTTAGGCAAGTGAATGTTTGCTCCAAGGATTTGGTTGGTAAGACTCTGACTCTTTAGCTTTCTCTTATGTGTTTTCTTCACTTTCTCTCTAACAGAAAAGTATTGCTCATGTTGTTAAAAATAACAGTTCTGCTCAACTCTGTTTTGGACATGAGCAAAATCGAAAGCGGGAAGATGCATTTAGTGAAAGTCATTCGTTTTGCATAGTTGATGGGGGAGAGAACGAGAAGAAACAAGAAAGAAATAAGACGAAAGAGAGAAACATGGTTCGAGATTCAAGCTCAGCATTTTAAGAAGTGGAGAGAACGATTATATTCCCATAAATGTAAATACACACTCACTAATACTTACAAAACAAATAAATTGAAATGGAAATTACGAATTTGAGATTGATTTTTCAAATTCAAAATTTATATTACTAATTTTGGTGAAATAGGGTTTGTTGCTTGGTACCAGAGGCCACATGATAATTTACCAAATTTCATCACTAGTAGTTGCTGAAAGAGTTTTATAATGGGTTTTTTTTCATTTTTATTTCAAAAATAAAACTCTTCATTTATACGAAAAATTTATTCTGTGTAAAACAGTTTTAAGAGGTGTATTGAATAAAAGATTTACAGGATTTTTAATAAAATGACAAATCATATGTTATTCAAACATGAACTTTAAAATGTCTTCTAAATTTAAATGTTAGTGGATTAGTAATTTTAAAATATACAACCAAATCCATTGTAATTGGAAACATTTTAAGTAGTTGATTTGAAGTGATTTGAGTAATTTTAGGTGAGATTTCAGAGAATATCTTAGTTAAAATACAAAGATTCAGATCCCATGGTCTGATGTGAAATTTCCGAGAATTTTAATAACAGATTTTCTAAGTCACCAAAATCATCCCAAAATTCATGAAAACTCAAAGCACTCTAAACTCTCCTTCAATACACCCTCTAAGATAAAATGATGTGATATATTAGTTTAAAAAATCTTGATAAAAATATATATTAGTTTTTAAGTGAGAAAAAAATTCATGTCGCCAAAAAAATCAAAACATTATACATATTATAAGTTATTTTCTCATAAAATTATGTGGATTTGTTTTTTACTTTTTAGTATATAATGACATAATTAAATTTAGTGAAAATGGATAGTATTGTAATTGGATTTAAAAGGAAATACACGTGTCAAAAGGAGATATGTCACCTCTTATCTTTTCAAAAATTGTGTTTAGATGAAACTTTACTTTATTATATAAGATTATTAACAAAAAATTTTAAATTTATAGTAAATAAATAGCTCAAGAAATTTTATCTAAATAAAAATTATTATATAAATGTTGGTACTCTATCTGTTTCATTTTATTTAATTTTCTGTTATTATTATTATTATTTTAAAATACCCCCTCCCCCAATTAATAGTATATATATTTTTCTTGGTAAAGGCCAATTAATAGTATATATTACATTGATTAGGTTTCACTATATATCTGCTATATATATTGACCAATCCCAAAAAGATATAAAATTAGATTTTGATTCGCTTTATACACCATTACATCTTTCTTTTATTTTTTTTGGGTCAAACCCATTGATTCTTTCTTTTAAAAAATTGATTTTTTCAGTCAACAATAATTACATTAATTAGGTTTCCTAATAAGCCCTAGATATTCTGCTATATATTGACCAAACTAATGCAAAAATATATTATAACTTACATAATTGTAACTTGAAAGTATCATCGCACAAACAAAATGAATCGTAGTTGTCCGATCTATGGCCCTCCGTGTCAACTCTGCAGCTGTGCTGGCATTTCGTGCCAACCTCTATTTCCAGGTATATTGTTTTTATCTTTAAGTTTCTGTGTTCTTATATATTTCTTATGGTTCATAATCATATGGTAGTAAGATTTTAGTGTAAACCATCAATTTTTCTAACCCATAATTTTTCCGTGTGTAATATGGTTATATATATTAGAAAATTAGGATCTTGACCATTAACCAGAAATCATTTATTATTGTAATTAAAAACAAACTAAAAATGAAACGATTATGTTTTATACAAATGTGAAATGTTTAGAGTTGTCTATTTCAAAAATAAGAAGTGAAACATATGGAATGATTGTGAGCAGGAATGAAGGTGGAATGGCCAGAACTAACAGGAGTAAGTGGACTTGAAGCTAAGAGAAGAATCGAACATGACAATCCAAAAGTGGTGGCTGTTATCATTCCCGATGATGTTGCTGTGGTAGCCATCAATTGTTGTAACCGTGTCATTCTCCGTGTTCCCGTTAACAACTGTCCCAATGGTCCTGTCCTTAATATTCCTCACGTCGGATGAGGAAACTATAATCTTCCTCATGTCGGATAAGGAAACTATGTTGTTCTTTTACCTATTTCCGTTATATCTTTTGTTTCAATAATTTCCGGATAAGCATTTTTATTCTCTTCGATTAAAAAAACTGGTCTGATGGTAATGTTTCTTTGAATAATGAAATTTGGCATATTAAGTTATATTTTCGCATATTTTTTTTTTTTTTGAATAACTGCGGGTCTCCCAAAGGTTTCCTAGACCCAAGGACTAATCCCACAAGGCTGGCAATTCCCCTATGTAAACCTGTCAGTGGCCGTGCCTCGAACCCTGGTGGCGGAAGTCACAACTGTGACCTCTTTACCACTAGGCCACAAGGCCCGGTTTATATTTTTTTTGTTTAACTTTTTTTTGTTTGTATGTGGTTTAACTTTATATATGCTTAACTCTTATCAACGATATTATGTTTAACCATCAAACATAAATTTCCCAAATCGTAATCTCAATGCTACAAAAAAATATAAAACAATCATTCGCCCAACGAAAAGATTGCATATTTTGCAAGAAAAGAAAAAGAAAAAAAAAAAAAAAAGATTCTAATTTGTTGGTTTGGTACGTTGAGAGATTGGGCCTTATGAGACTTGATTGAGCCCATTAATATTTTCTTATCTTATTTACGATTCATGCCCAAACACTCTCTCCGTTGGGCATAAAACAAATAAATTCATTGTGCAGTGAATTCCTATGGAACACTCTGAAGTTGATCAGGATACTTTTATCTTCATGCCAAACTCAATCTGTGCTACATGGTACCTACAACAGAAAAGTGTTAGTTGGGAATGTCAACAATGACTGGAAACAAAAAAGAAGAAGCAGAAACAAGCTTGGGTTCTCCAACAAGAGAGATGTGATTTACCCATGGACTTAAGGCAGTTGTTGGAAATGTTCTGAACCGGTGCCTGACCAAAGACAAGAGTCTCGAATTTGGGATTGCAAACCTCTGTAACTCTGATATGGAAACAAAGAGTCACCTATTCTTTAGATTTCATTACAGCTGCGGTTGCCAATTAAAACTCACCAGAAGATCATCTTTCTCCTAGCATGGCAACAACAACCCTCAATGGACAGAAATAAATCACCAAAGTCTCCAAATCTTCCTATCCGGAACAGAGCAACCAGTTCATTAAACTTCTTTTTCATCAATTTGAAGTTTCCAACCATTCTAGTATTCTACTGTTTGAAACAAATAGTGATTAACAGCGACAAAATTATTTCAAAGCTTAAAATTTAAAACACTTAATAGAGGGCATTACAATATCTGTTACACCTTCTTTCATTAGTCCCTCAAGTTTCTTTACCACTAAATATTAAGTCCAGGTTAGAGCCACGGGGCTTCGAACCAAGTGTTTACCATCCGACCACTCAATGCTACCAAAGCTGTTGGTTCCAGAAGGCATTGATGGATTCACGGTGAAGATAACCGAATACGATCTCTTCTCATTGACATTATTGAAATCCAAAACCGCCGGTTCGACCGAAATGTTGACCGCCTTAACATCAGACATGACTTTAACCGTGTAAGTTCCAGCTCCTCCCACGCTCGTTACGATACGCGTGTATGTGTACGCGCCGCCTCCACCTCTGTTGATCGTGACTGCAAACGACGGATAGTTGAGCTCGGAATCCAAACGAAGAAAAGCAAACCAAACCTTGAAGAGAATGGTATCATCACGGAAGAGCTGAAGCTTCTCCATGGTTGCAGGGTGAAGAGATACGACGGAGTTATCATCGTTGAAGCCTCATCGACGACAAGGCGGTTCAGAGACTTCTTCCTCTCGAGATCACAAGATCAACCAAAACCCTAATCCCCAAAATCGAAAAAAACCCAGACTTTAGCAAGATCCGAAACATCCCAATCGGAAAACCAAAATCAGAGATATGGGTACTTACGATGGAGAAAATTCACCGATATCTCCACCGGAATCGAACAGATTTCGAATCTCCTCATTTTTGTCGCAAAGGTGTCCAGAGAGATCAAGAGAGAGAGATGGAAATAATGTCGGGAAAAAATCACAGGAGAGTGAATTTTTTTTTGGTTTTGTTTTTTATTTTTTCCACTCAAATCGCGACACGCGCTTCTAAACTTAAGAAAAACATCTTAAACATCTTAAATAAGATACATATCTTAGCAAATATTTGTTGGTTTCATTAAATATAATTGCTTTTAATGCTAAAATTTGTGTTAAGATGTTGCTAAGATATACCATTGGAGATGTTCTAACAGCGACAAAATTATTTCAAAGCTTAAAATTTAAAACACTTAATAGAGGGCATTACAATATCTGTTACACCTTCTTTCATTAGTCCCTCTAGTTTCATTACCACTAAATACTAAGTCCAGGTTAGAGCCACGGGGCTTCGAACCAAGTGTTTACCATCCGACCACTCAATGCTACCAAAGCTGTTGGTTCCAGAAGGCATTGATGGATTCACGGTGAAGATAACCGAATACGATCTCTTCTCATTGACATTATTGAAATCCAAAACCGCCGGTTCGACCGAAATGTTGACCGCCTTAACATCAGACATGACTTTAACCGTGTAAGTTCCAGCTCCTCCCACGCTCGTTACGATACGCGTGTATGTGTACGCGCCGCCTCCACCTCTGTTGATCGTGACTGCAAACGACGGATAGTTGAGCTCGGAAATCCTGTACTCCTTGCTCCGGTCACAGGAAAATTCAATTCTCGTGATGATCTTAATCTGGGAGGAGGTGTAATTTGAAGCGCACAAGAAATGCAAGTAATCCATGGCCGTCAACAAATGTTTTAGCAATTCTACAAGGAAGCATTGTAGAATTGTTTTAGCAATTCTACAAGGAAGCATTGTAGAATTGTTTTAGCAATTCTACAAGGAAGCATTGTTAACTTATTGTAGGAGGCGATACCTATAAAAAAAAAGCAACAGAGTACAACGATGTAAGTGCCTTATATTTCACGTTTTGCAAAGTCAAGGAGAATGATAAACCCTAAACTAAAAAACACCTTTTTTATTCTCACTTCTTTTCCTCGGAGCAAGTCGAAACCCTTTTGACAAAAAAGAAAACATTTGATTCTCAAAATCCATTTATATATGTATTTTATCTAGAATTGAGCTACATTTAACATAATTTTTTTACACATACAGGTGAGTGTATACATGCATATATAATATATTATATATGACGACGAAGATACATATAGATGTTCCACCTAAGAAAATTTTAAATTCAAGTGCAATAATATTATTAGGAATATTCCCTGCACACAATCGATCATTCCATATGTTTTTAACTATTTATTTTTGAAATAGCTAGAGAACTCTAAACATTTGTATAAAACAAACTCTTGTTTATTATAATTTTTGTTGATTTTCATAAAAGATAATCGTATCATTTTAGTTTTTTTTTTTTAAACAATAATAAAAGATTTGTGGTTATTTGGTTAGGTCAAGATACCGTAATACACACGGAAACTGTATGGGTTAGACAAATTGATAGTTTACACAAAAATCTTAATAACATATGATCCAAAAAAAAGTAAGAACACAAAAACTTAAAGATAAAAACAATATACCTGGAAATCGAGGTTGGCACAAAATGCCAGCACAGCTGCAGCCTTCACAAGGAGGACCAGAGATTTGATATAAAAAAAACTACACACAAAAACAATGTTCTAAACTTAAACTAGAATAAGAGAATTAAACTAGAATAAGAGAAACAAAATAAAAATCTAATAAAAGAGAAATAAAACGTAGAATAGAACTACCTTGAATGGAGATTTTGTGTTTGATGAGAACAAACAAAATCAAAATTTGTCTGTAATCGAAAAAGAAGAAACCAAAAACTAAGAGTCGACGTTTCACAAGACACGTTTAGTTAACTTTTTGGTAAATAAAGAAAGATCTAATGGTAAATGATAATGTACTTTAAGTGTCTGTATAATAGCGAATCAAAGTGTAATTTGTTTACTTATTGGCATTGGTCAATATATATAGCAGATATATAGGGGAAAGAAACCTAATCAATGTAATATATTCTATTAATTGGGGTGTGGGGGAGTTGTCTTTTAAATAACTATGAAATTGTTATAGTTTATTTCAAATTAAACGCCATTAGATTTTTATTTAGAGTATAATAAAGTTGCTTTTAAAAGAATACTAGAATGGTTGGAAATTTCAAATTACTCCAAACCAGTTCATTAAACTTATTTCTCATTAATTTGAAATTACTCCAAACCAGTTCATTAAACTTATTTCTCATTAATTTGAAATTTCCAACCATTCTAGTATTCTTTTAATGCTGTCTTTGATGCTACACATGATTATGTTGCCATGATGTTAAAAACAAATTAACATTGATTGCTTTCTTACAATTTTGGGAAAAACAACTTTATTATCACATATATGTATGTAGACTCAAAATTAGAAATACTTTTTCTTATTCAGTAGGAAAATATATATTAATATGTTAGTATATCTTTAACTTTGAATCTTAGAAAGGATAGTTATTTGATTTTACAAAAAAAATTCTTACAATGTACCTACACATTAACATGATTAGGCCTCCATTATTAAAAATAAATGTAGATGAACTTTTCACAGTTTTGGAAAAGCATCTTATTTCCATATGTGTATTTATATACACAATACTATTAGAAACAATTTGTCTCAATTATATTTGTATTGGAGAATTATATTCTTACAAGTTGTCCAACGATCCTAAACTACTGATGGTTACAAAAAATAATAGAATGTGTCTTTTTTAATAGAACGGGGATATGATGTAGATGTTTGGGAAAACTATCATATCTACCATATCCTCCTTCTCCTAGCATGGCAACAACAACCCTCAATGGACAGAAATAAATCACCAAAATCTCCAAATCTTCCTATCCGGAACAGAGCAACCAGTTCATTAAACTTCTTTTTCATCAATTTGAAGTTTCCAACCATTCTAGTATTCTACTGTTTGAAACAAATAGTGATTAAGAGCATCTCCAATGGTTAAGAACCATTTGGTTCTTAACTTTGTATCTCAGCAATATTTTAAAATAAATTTTTGCTTATTTGTAAGTTAAGAAAAGAAGATAGTATCTTAACATATATGCCCTCCAATGGTTAAGAATAGAAAGTATCTTAAGAAAACAAAATTCAAATTGTTGCAAAACACTATCTTCTTAAACAAGCAATCATAAAACCAAACTCATACAAAGCTTCTGTCCAATTTCAAACTCCTATTGCTTCTGTCCAATTTCAAATTCCTATTGCTTATGTCCAACAGAAATCAGATGATATGCTAAATCATTAAAAAAATTCATAGAAATATGCTAATCTTCCTTAAGAAAGAATTGTTACCTCTAGTATATGCTAATCGTCCACTGTTTTCTTAAGCCATCCCATGTCTTCCTGCAATATTTCATAGTCACACAAATGTTTCATCATTATTTCATAGCAAAGTGGTATCTCAAAGAGACAGAGTAAATCACACTACTTTTTAGAGGAATAGATTTCAATTAAACTAAACTAAACTAAACTAAACTCCTTTCACACTTTTTTTAAATCTAATGTGATTGTAAGAAAGAACATCCAAAGACAAATACCGTATCTTCCAAACTAATGACTTCAGAAGCCAGTATTTGGGAACGCTCATCAGCAGCATTATATTCTAGCTGCGCGTTTGCATATTCAATCCTGACAGATTCAAGCTCCCCTTGGACGGAATTAGTGTTAAATCAAGTAAAAGCTTTTCAAGTAATCTAGACAATAGCTCCAGTGGATGAAAGAACATGGCATACAAAATCATAATTTAACCAACCATTCAATATCTCAATCAAAAGAGAATCCAAACGAAGAAAAGCAAACCAAACCTTGAAGAGAATGGTATCATCACGGAAGAGCTGAAGCTTCTCCATGGTTGCAGGGTGAAGAGATACGACGGAGTTATCATCGTTGAAGCCTCATCGACGACAAGGCGGTTCAGAGACTTCTTCCTCTCGAGATCACAAGATCAACCAAAACCCTAATCCCCAAAATCGAAAAAAACCCAGACTTTAGCAAGATCCGAAACATCCCAATCGGAAAACCAAAATCAGAGATATGGGTACTTACGATGGAGAAAATTCACCGATATCTCCACCGGAATCGAACAGATTTCGAATCTCCTCATTTTTGTCGCAAAGGTGTCCAGAGAGATCAAGAGAGAGAGATGGAAATAATGTCGGGAAAAAATCACAGGAGAGTGAATTTTTTTTTGGTTTTGTTTTTTATTTTTTCCACTCAAATCGCGACACGCGCTTCTAAACTTAAGAAAAACATCTTAAACATCTTAAATAAGATACATATCTTAGCAAATATTTGTTGGTTTCATTAAATATAATTGCTTTTAATGCTAAAATTTGTGTTAAGATGTTGCTAAGATATACCATTGGAGATGTTCTAACAGCGACAAAATTATTTCAAAGCTTAAAATTTAAAACACTTAATAGAGGGCATTACAATATCTGTTACACCTTCTTTCATTAGTCCCTCTAGTTTCATTACCACTAAATACTAAGTCCAGGTTAGAGCCACGGGGCTTCGAACCAAGTGTTTACCATCCGACCACTCAATGCTACCAAAGCTGTTGGTTCCAGAAGGCATTGATGGATTCACGGTGAAGATAACCGAATACGATCTCTTCTCATTGACATTATTGAAATCCAAAACCGCCGGTTCGACCGAAATGTTGACCGCCTTAACATCAGACATGACTTTAACCGTGTAAGTTCCAGCTCCTCCCACGCTCGTTACGATACGCGTGTATGTGTACGCGCCGCCTCCACCTCTGTTGATCGTGACTGCAAACGACGGATAGTTGAGCTCGGAAATCCTGTACTCCTTGCTCCGGTCACAGGAAAATTCAATTCTCGTGATGATCTTAATCTGGGAGGAGGTGTAATTTGAAGCGCACAAGAAATGCAAGTAATCCATTGCCGTCAGATCGTAAATGAGTCCCGGCTTGAAAGCAGATACCGGTGACACCTGTCCGGCTCCGTGCGCAAACGGCGTGGAAGGTTTACCAGTTGCGCTGTCGAGGATCGGCTTTCCGTCGTTGCTGGATGTTTTCGCTGTCGTCATCATTGCAGAACGAATCGCCGCCGGGCTCCATTCGGGATGCGCCGCCTTGAGGAGTGCCGCGATTCCGCTCACGTGAGGACACGCCATCGAGGTTCCCGACTTAATGTTGAATTCAGAATCGGGTCCTTTAACTCCGATCCAGGCCGCCAGAATGTTGACACCTGGCGCGATCAAGTCGGGCTTGAGAATTTCCGGCGTGATTGAATTCGGCCCCCGAGAACTGAATCCTGCTACCATCGGCGACGGCTTATAACCGATGACCGTTCCATTGAATTTTATCGTTGCTGTCGGATTCGATTCTGTTATGACATAGTGTCGAATCTCGTCGCCGATTTCTTTCCCGACGACGGCGGATGGCGATTGAGCATATGTCGCGACGAGCTCTGTCCCGTCAAACACCATGTTGGCGTAAATCATTCCAAGTGGTTCTTTGCCGTTTTTCGACTGACGCACCTCGTTATCGTAGAATCTGAGATCATCTAAAACGATGGAGCCTTCAACTTCTTTCCCAAATCTATGGTAAACGATCGGCAACATCTCATCCGGCAAGCCATTCCCTTGGAACAACAGTGACTCACCGGGAAATACTTTACCATTTCCCAGGATGATAGTTGCTGGGAATTTTCTATCCAAAGTCCCAGCTCCTACGGTGGTTAACCAAGGAGCCACGTTTGCTAACGAAGACGACGTCGGACCGTCATTGCCGCCAGCGGCGGCCACAAAAACTCCATGCTCAGTCGCAGCTAGAGCACCTATGGCAATGCTGTCTTTGTCATAGTCCAATCGGTTAAGTGCCAGCGACAATGACAGGATGTTAACATTATCTTCCATGGCTTTGTCAATGGCCGCTAAAACATCCGAGCTTACGCAAAAACCTCCAAGCCAGCAAGCTTTATACATTGCAATCCGAGCTAGTGGAGCCATTCCACGAGCAACACCTGCGGCATATCCTAGAAAGGCTGCTTCTTTAACTGCAGATCCAGCGGCTATTGAGGAAGTGTGAGTACCATGCCCGAGACTATCCCTGGGAGATCTAAAGTCATCGGACTGGTTGATCGGACCCATTTCGGCTTCGAAGCCTTTTAGAAAAAACCTAGCACCAATCAATTTCCGGTTACAGAGGGAAGCCGTGAAATTCATTCCTTCTTCGCATTCTCCTTTCCAGCTTATCGGCACTGGTCCGAACCCTATATCATTAAAACTTTTGCTCTCGGGCCATATTCCGCTGTCAATGACTCCAACAATGACATCGCTGGCTGAGCCGTTATGGCGCAAGTCTTCTCCATCGACATTGTCACCAAGGCCTAGAAAAGTTGGTGTTCGTGTTGTCTCTAGCTTGTAAACTACCTCGGGAACAACAGCTAAGATTCCAGGTTTTCCCGACAGCAACTCTACCTCTTCAGGGGTTAACCGTGCCGAGAATCCATTGATCGCATGGTTGTACTTGTACAATACTTCCCCCGAGGCTGAGATAGACTTTACGGACGACTCGTACCATTTGAATTTCTCCGCAGAGGTCATTGTCGTGACAGCCGTGTGAACAACGTAGCTCGACCGTTCTGAGAAAGCAGAAGAAACATGGAGAACACCGAGCAAAATGAAACGGAAGAGAAACATAATCAGAGGAACGATGAACAGAGAGAATTATGGGAAGAGAGAATGATGCTTTCTAATGAATAATGTATGATGGTGAAATATAAATCGGTTTATCATTAGTGGTTAGATGATATCAGTGGTTTTGTTATTTTATTTTATCTGATAACAAATTAATGGTTTAGTTTCTAATAAAATAATTAAATAACCAAACGAGAACTATCAATAATTATTTGATAATAATATTTCAAGAATATATAATAACATGCTACACATGATTATGTTGCCATGATAAAAACAAATTAACATTGATTGCTTTCTTACAATTTTGGGAAAAACAACTTTATTATCACATATATGTATGTAGACTCAAAATTAGAAATACTTTTTCTTATTCAGTAGGAAAATATATATTAATATGTTAGTATATCTTTAACTTTGAATCTTAGAAAGGATAGTTATTTGATTTTACAAAAAAAATTCTTACAATGTACCTACACATTAACATGATTAGGCCTCCATTATTAAAAATAAATGTAGATGAACTTTTCACAGTTTTGGAAAAGCATCTTATTTCCATATGTGTATTTATATACACAATACTATTAGAAACAATTTGTCTCAATTATATTTGTATTGGAGAATTATATTCTTACAAGTTGTCCAACGATCCTAAACTACTGATGGTTACAAAAAATAATAGAATGTGTCTTTTTTAATAGAACGGGGATATGATGTAGATGTTTTATCTTAAAATCAATCTGTATTAATATTCCTCAGAACACTGATGGTTTACACTTGTCTGTAGTGTTAAGTGAGAGTACATGGGACCACTCCCGACTCATGGGACTAAAAAGCTAGTTTTTTAAAAAGTTTCGATTAGTTATTAATAGTTAAATGTTCTATATCAAGAATATTGATTTTACTGTATATAATTGTTGTGGTTTTGCTCCAAGTCATAGACTGATACTGAAAACACTAACGAATTATATATTTTTGAGTTTTATCAATAATATATTGGTGAGGAGTCATAACTCATAAAGTCTGTTAATATATTGGTTTGGGATTACTAATAAGAAGTTTTGGTTATGATTTATTTCTATTCGAATTGTGATCAGAGCAAACCAGAGCCTGGTAAGTCTTTTTTCCACTATCAAAACTTGAACTTGCGATTTTGAGGAACTTTTTAATGGCCGATTGAAATATTTACACGGGATATATGCTCGAACTAATTTTGGCCTGGGTCAATTTCAGAGCAAATTGATCGGATCCATCTCGGTTCAAGTTTAACTGGCATGTGTTTAGGTTATAATACTAACGCTAAATTACATGTTATTTTTTGTGTAAATAAATTACATGTATTTCCGACTCAAAACCATATAATAAGCGAATTGATCAAAGTCCCATATATATATATATATATATGCCATGTCAATTTTGATCTGAGATTACTAAAAGATAGTTGTATGTTCTTACGACCACATCTTCCTATATACTAAAAGGATGTCACGGGGAGACAGTGTTTGCAATTTTTGGTCATGTCAATTTGTGTTGTATCATATTAAATATTTAGTTTAGATATTTAAAATATGTTTAAACAAGAAAAAAAGATTTGTATATGTAAATAGATTAATTATAAAAAAACTCAAATACATAATTTTAAACTATTCTAAAATAGGTGTAAAACACAGTTAAACTTCAACGCAACCAACTTTTCTCTTAGTTTTGTCAAGAGCGAAAGAGATACTATGGGCGAAGAGTCTACTATCCTCTCTATTCTTCACTCGTTAGTCTATCTATATGTCAGGTTACTGGATAGGATTTCACTTCCGCATCCTTCTTACGGCCACAACTCCAAAGAAGAAGTAATGGTCTACACTCTACAGTGAACCGTTATAAGCAACGGTGATCACTCCGGTGAAACCATCGATTTGGGATTGTTGTTGAAACCTCGCAATTTATGGTGATTGTCTCTATGTTATTAATTCTTCCTAGTTGTTCTGAATCTTTCACAACATTGCTCACGACTAGGCTCTTCAATTATGCTTTTAACCGATGATCGGTTTGTCTTTCAAGCTTTGTATTGCAATGTTTTCTTTGACTTAGTCTTTAGTCTTCTATCTCGTTTGTAATCCAGTTTGTTTGAAATGAAGAATGTGTTTGACAAAAAAACTAAAAATCTTAGATTATCTTGGTGAATCATTGATTTGTATGATAGAGTCGTAGACGGTTTCTTTTACACTTGCTATCGTCTTGATTACTGATGTTTGAACTGTCATACCCCATTTTGACATATGGTGGAAGATACAACATCAACTTACATAGTATTTTGTAAGTCGGATAGAGCAAAATTTATGATTTAAAATATTTTGCAGAGAGGGTAACTAACTATCTACTAACGTAAAGGTCATGTAACACCATCCATTTTATTTCATCACTTTTACACAACGTAGAAGTCATCGGTAATAGCAGAAAGAAGTTGCATAAATCAAATTAAATAAACTCATTATGCAGTGAATTCCTATGGAACACTCTGAAGTTGATCAAGATACTTTTATCTTCATGCCAAACTCAATATGTGCTACATGGTACCTACAACAGAAAAGTGTTAGATGGGAATGTCAACAATAACTGGATTATATAACAAAAAGAAGAAACAGAAACAAGCTTGGGTTCTCCAACAAGAGAGATGTGATTTACCCATGGACTTAAGGCAGTTTGTTGGAAATGTTCTTAACCGGTGCCTGACCAAAGGCAAGAGTCTTGAATTGGGGATTGCAAACCTCTGTAACTCAGATATAGAAACAAGGAGTCACCTATTCTTTAGATTTCATTACAGCTGCGGTTGCTTCAATCTTTGCCAATTAAAAACTCACCAGAAGATCCTCCTTCTCCTAGCATGGCAACAACAACCCTCAATGGACAGAAATAAATCACCAAAATCTCCAAATCTTTCGATCTGCTCCTTGGGAAAATTGATATCACCATCCGGAACAGAGCAACCAGTTCATTAAACTTATTTCTCATTAATTTGAAATTTCCAACCATTCTAGTATTCTTTTAAAAGCAACTTTATTATACTCTAAATAAAAATCTAATGGCGTTTAATTTGAAATAAACTATAACAATTTCATAGTTATTTAAAAGACAACTCCCCCACACCCCAATTAATAGTATATATTACATTGATTAGGTTTCTTTCCCTATATATCTGCTATATATATTGACCAATGCCAATAAGTAAACAAATTACACTTTGATTCGCTATTATACAGACACTTAAAGTACATTACCATTTACCATTAGATCTTTCTTTATTTACCAAAAAGTTAACTAAACGTGTCTTGTGAAACGTCGACTCTTAGTTTTTGGTTTCTTCTTTTTCGATTACAGACAAATTTTGATTTTGTTTGTTCTCATCAAACACAAAATCTCCATTCAAGGTAGTTCTATTCTACGTTTTATTTCTCTTTTATTAGATTTTTATTTTGTTTCTCTTATTCTAGTTTAATTCTCTTATTTTACTTTAAGTTTAGAACATTGTTTTTGTGTAGTTTTTTTTATACCAAATCTCTGGTCCTCCGTGTGAAGGCTGCAGCTGTGCTGGCATTTTGTGCCAACCTCGATTTCCAGGTATATTGTTTTTATCTTTAAGTCTTTGTGTTCTTACTATTTTTTGGATCATATGTTATTAAGATTTTTGTGTAAACTATCAATTTGTCTAACCCATACAGTTTCCGTGTGTATTACGGTATCTTGACCTAACCAAATAACCACAAATATTTTATTATTGTTTAAAAAAAAAACTAAAATGATACGATTATCTTTTATGAAAATCAACAAAAATTATAATAAACAAGAGTTTGTTTTATACAAATGTTTAGAGTTCTCTAGCTATTTCAAAAATAAATAGTTAAAAACATATGGAATGATCGATTGTGTGCAGGGAATATTCCTAATAATATTATTGCACTTGAATTTAAAATTTTCCTAGGTGGAACATCTATATGTATCTTCGTCGTCATATATAATATATTATATATGCATGTATACACTCACCTGTATGTGTAAAAAAATTATGTTAAATGTAGCTCAATTCTAGATAAAATACATATATAAATGGATTTTGAGAATCAAATGTTTTCTTTTTTGTCAAAAGGGTTTCGACTTGCTCCGAGGAAAAGAAGTGAGAATAAAAAAGGTGAAATATAAGGCACTTACATCGTTGTACTCTGTTACTTTTTTTTTATAGGTATCGCCTCCTACAATAAATTAACAATGCTTCCTTGTAGAATTGCTAAAACATTTGTTGAAGCTTATGGTCCGAGATCTACATGACCATATATAGTAGTCCAGCATCTTTAGGGAAAGGAATTTGAGATCTTTTCAATGGCTTCCTTTGCAACAGCTTCTGGTAATCTTGCCATTCTTGACGAGTCTTGATCTTTAGAATCAAAGTTATAAAGGGGTCAAGAGATACATATATTAATTAATTTTTTCTTTTCATTTTGTGGATCTACAAATTTACTGACGTGATGGTGAAAGTTACAAAACTTGTGGCTTCACGTCCAATAGTGGTCTTTTGCGTCCTGGTAATTTTTCTTTCTTTCTTCTAAATTATACTATGATTCTACTCATCTCGTTTATGTTTTTTAGATGATAGTATAATCTAAATTTTTTTTTTCCTTTTTTTGCGATGGGGTTTAGTTTGTTGATGCTTGTTTTTTTCATTGAATGTTGTTCTTCGTCCAATTCGAATACGAAATAGCAAAACTCAATAAACTGTCAAGCCAAAATCAGATGCTCACAGAAAATAAATAAAAATAAAAACTGTAAACCTACATCGATTTCGAAATTTGCCAATGTATATATGATTATACCATCTGTTCATGTATATTTATTGAATAATTTAGGCATTTCTGGTGGTTGTTTTCGGGTGCACATGGATCTCGAATTGGCGAACAACGACGGAGAACGTAGCCAAAGACGTCGCTTCATTTACCGAAGATCTCCGGACAAGTCTTGTTTCCGAGATTTAAAACATTGGAAAATTTACATATCCCAAGACGAACTTATCTACAATCGGTTTAGCAAGAGTTTTAGATTCTTATCTCACCAACAAGACACTGATTTCTCAGAGATTCAAACAAAGGTTATTAATAGTAATTAATTTACATCAATTCATTATCTTATAATCATTATCTTAGGATTAGTTTTGAGTTATAACGTTAACTATAATTTATATTGTTATTATTGTTCTTCAGATCGCACCATTGTTGTTTGAAGCTTATTCAACGATCCCTCAAGTCTCACAAGTTTCGTACATTAGTAGGGCCGGTCTCCTGTTTTCTTACATTGCAGAATCAAACACAAGTGTAGCTGTTTTTGCAAATTCCTCGTCGACTTCAAGTGGTGGAGACTACACTTGGTACACTCAAACCGTTGATCAATTAACCGGTCGTCTCAACGGGAACGCAACGAAATCTCAGCCGTTAGATTTAACCCATACAGATTGGTTCCAAGTAGCACAGAGTGATAATTACACTACCGCCTTTCTAGGAACAAGTTTGGGAGGAGAAGATAACGAGACTCTAATTCAGAGCGTGGTTAGCTTGTACAACAATAAAGGTCTTGTTTCGCTAGGGTTTCCGGTTAAGACTTTAACTGATGTTTTGAACAGTTTGAATCTACACGGCGAAGAGCTTTACATGTGGACAAAGGACGAGACGATGCTTGTTCGTCAAGGTTCACTGAATGCTTCTTTCTTCGTCTCCAATGGATCAATTTGCTTCAGTAGAGAATCTAAATCTATCGGGTCTCAATGCATCCCTTATAACTGCAGTTCCAGTGGTTACGAGGTGGAGATCAAAAGATCAAAATTTCAAGCTTTTTGCTCTGTTCTTGAAGTTTCGGGCGTTTCTCTGGTAAATACTGAAACATTTTTCACTTTGATATGTAGTAAAATTCATCAATTTGGTTCTCAGCTTGGTCTTTTTTTACCAGAGATACACACTCATGTTTCCTAACAAAAGTGGAGCAACACGCATAAGGGATCAAGCGGAAAAGGCAATGTATCAACTTATTGTGGTTACGATATTTTTTGGCTTGGGTTGGCCTTTGTGGTTTGTGTGGTTTATGATGCAAGCAACAAGGAGAGAGATGCATATGCGTGCAGTGCTAATAAACCAAATGGAAGCAACACAACAGGCTGAGAGAAAGAGCATGAACAAGAGTCAAGCATTTGCAAATGCTAGCCACGATATTAGAGGTGCCCTTGCAGGGATCAAAGGCCTGATTGATATATGTCGTGATGAAGTTAAACCAGGCTCTGACGTAGATACCACTCTTAGGCAAGTGAATGTTTGCTCCAAGGATTTGGTTGGTAAGACTCTGACTCTTTAGCTTTCTCTAATGTGTTTTCTTCACTTTCTCTCTAACAGAAAAGTCTTGCTCATGTTGTTAAAAATAACAGTTCTGCTCAACTCTGTTTTGGACATGAGCAAAATCGAAAGCGGGAAGATGCATTTAGTGGAAGAAGATTTCAACTTGGCAAAACTTCTTGAAGACATCATCGACTTTTACCATCCCGTTGCGATGAAGAAAGGGGTTGATGTAGTTTTGGACCTGCACAATGGCTCGATATTCAAATTCTCGAATGTGCGAGGAGATAGTGGCAAACTGAAGCAGATTCTGAACAATCTTATCAGTAATGCTGTCAAGTTCACAGTGGACGGGCACATTTCGATCCGAGCTTGGGCTCAAAGGCCAAGTTCCAAAAGCTCTGTGGTCCTGGCATCGGACCCTCAAGGTGTGTCCAAGATTTTGAAGAGTATGTTCTGCAAGAATAAAGACCAGTCATCAACCTGCGAAACAGAAATATCGAATTCCATAAGAAACAACGCCAACACGATGGAGTTTGTGTTTGAAGTGGACGATACAGGTAGAGGGATACCTATGGAGATGCGTAAATCGGTGTTTGAAAACAATGTTCAAGTAAGAGAAACAAGACACCAAGGAACTGGTTTAGGGCTTGGCATTGTACAGTCGTCTTTGGTAAGCTACTAAAGCAGAAAACGTTGATTCTCTTCACAAGTAAATCTAAATGGTTTTCATTTCTGGTCTATTATTTTATAGGTAAGATTAATGGGAGGAGAGATAAGAATCACCGACAAGGCCATGGGAGAGAAAGGAACATGTTTCCAATTCAATGTTTTATTGACAACATTAGATTCTCCTCCAGTAAGTGACATGAAAGCGAAACAGGACATCGAAGTAGGAGGCGAATACGTATCCACGCCAAACCTCGGGCTGACTATAAATACTTCACTGGGAGCTATTATGAATATACGCAACCTGAGTCCTAGATTCAACAACTGTCTCAGCTCAAGTCCAAAGCAAGAATGTTCTAGAGTGGTTCTCCTATTGAAAAACGAAGAACGCAGAAGAGTTACTGAGAAATATATAAAGAATCTTGGGATTAAAGTTTCAGTGGTGGAGAAATGGGAGCATTTAAGTTATGCCCTGGAGAGACTTTTTGGATTTTCACCTCAGAGTTCCATGGGAAGAGCAGAGTGTAGCTTGTCAAATCCGAGCTCACGGGAGTTACCATTGATTGGCATGGATGGTATTGATTCAAGAAGCCAACTTCCTAAAAAGAGAAGCAACAGTTTCTCTGCACTTGTCCTCTTGGTGATTGATGCAAAAACTGGACCATTTTTTGAGTTGTACGATATTGTCAAACAGTTTCGTAGAGGCTTGCCCCATGGAATAACCTGTAAAGTTGTTTGGCTAAACGAATCGAGCACTCGTGTAAGTGAGAAAGGGGACATTAGTTGTTCTAGACCCTTGCACGGATCGCATCTTATGGAAGTCTTGAAGATGTTACCTGAATTTGGAGGAACTTTTCTAAAAGAAACACCAACTGAGCTGCAAAGGGAATCACTGTTGAGACATTCTTTTGTTGCAGAGAGATCACCAAAACAAAATTCCAGCAAGAGGGACTAAGCTCATTAAGGTTTAATAAAAAATTAGGATCTTCAGAGAGTGAGACTTGGGTCAAGTCAGTGCGTACAGGTGGAAATCTTATTGGGAACCCAGAGGACGAGCAAGGAACTTCCAAGCCGAGTGACGATGAATTCTTAAGAGGAAAGAGAGTTCTTGTGGTCGATGATAACTTTTTAATACGTAAAGTTGCAACAGGAAAGCTAAAGAAGATGGGAGTCTCCGAGGTCAAACAATGCGACAGTGGAAAAGAAGCTTTGAGATTAGTCACTGAAGGGCTTGCACAAAGAAGAGAAGAACAAGGTTCAATATATAACCTTCCGTTTGACTACATATTCATGGACTGCCAAGTAAGTTTAATTGGTTAACCTTCCATAACACAATAACAAATAATTGACTCCTAATAAGTATTAATGTTCTGCACTGATGCCAGATATGGATGGATATGAAGCAACTAGAGAGATTAGGAAAGTGGAGAAAAGTTATGGGGTGCGTATACCAGTTATAGCTGTATCTGGTCATGATCATGGTTCAAGGGAAGCAAGAGAAACCATTCAAGCTGGAATGGACGCTTTCTTAGATAAAAACTTGAATCAACTTCCAAACGTCATTAGAGATATCGAAAGCAAGACAACTAGTCGACATTAGTATTTCCATCTCCTCGTTCTTCTATCGCAGCTCCTCCACCTCCGAAGCCGTCACCACCATCACATCTCCTTTCCCCATTTTCTCTCTTTAAAAAAAAAAATTGGTTTTTGAAGTTCTCTCTTTTTTTTTTTCTTTTCGTTTTTTTGTCTTGCTTTTTGTTTGTTGTTCTTCTTCTTCTTCATTTGGTAATTGAATGTTCCTTATATAAGCGTCACAGCTACTGGTCTTTGGGTGGGTAGTCCTTCGCCGGCATCTATGTAACCGAGTATAATGAAACAAAAACGAGAGAATTCATGATAGCTCTTGAGAGTAATAAAACTTCTCATATTTAGAAATCCATAACTTGAAATAACTGCGACATTTCAAAAGAAATCCATATGGATATGAAAATGTATTTTTAGTAAACAACAAAAGAGCACATTGGAGAAGAAGAAACAAAATCGACAGAGACATCTCTATTGAGTCCTCATTCTGCTGCTTTCTGCTGCCCTGACTTGAGCGAAATAGGGATGAGCCTGTCATCATTTCATAAAACCATCAAAATTTAGCAGTTACTAAGAAACAACACATGTTCGAGTTATGTTACGTGATACTTACCATTGCTTCTTTTGCAGTTAATCTGTCTTGATGATCATACCGTAGTAGCTTGTCCAGGTAATCAATCGCCTACATTTGTAAAACAAAGTTACAGCTCAAGAGAGAAACCATGGCAATAGACAAAAGTGTTTGTGTTTCTAATAGAATACAGAGAAAAAAAAGTAAACAAACCTCAGGTGAGACCAAATGCCTATTGTCGGCGTTGATGAATTTGGACCAAGGCTTCCTGCTATGTCTGTGGAAAGAGAATTGGTCACTGGTACTGCTTTAATCTTACTCTTGTACTATAGAGAATATGAGAGTTCTGCTTACCTCCCAACAAGTGCCTCTAGTTGAGCATCAAGTTCTAACTGATACTTATTCAGATATGCATTCAATTCATCGGTTCCGAGTACCTGAGTCAAAAATCAAACAAATACTCTTAAGATGTGAAAAAAGCACTCAATCCTCTTTAACATTCCAACATTTAGCCACGCATTTGATTACCTTGGCAATTTTGACGAGCTGATCCTGGTTGTCATGGCCATAGAAGAAAGGTTCCTTGCGGAATATCTACAAGAAAAGATAATTTAGACACATCAATAACCATAATGTATTTTGGAAACATTCTGAAGACGATGAGCATTAGAAGGCTTGTAAATTCGCAAGGTACTCACCATCCCAGCAAACATGCAACCGAGGCTCCACATGTCCAAGGAATAGTCATAGTCCTGTAAATCCACTAGAAGTTCGGGACCCTTGAAGTATCTGATATAGGAGACAACATTTGATCAAGCTTAGTTACTGAAAAAGACTACAAATAAAAATTGGTTTAGGAAAATGATGGGGTAGCAAAACAATTGATTTTGAAGGCGCCTATCATACCTTGAGGCCACACGGACGTTGTACTCTTTTCCAGGATGATAAAACTCAGCGAGACCCCAATCTATAAGGCGAAGTTTGCGCAGCTCATGGTCAATCATGACATTGTGTGGCTTGACATCTCTGTGCATTATACCTTGTGAGTGGCAGAAGTCCAATGCCTGCAGCAAGTCATAGGAAAACAGTAAGATCATCACTGAACTAAATTCGTTGTGGAACCGACAAAATTCCACAGATCAAAAGTCGTAATGGAACTATAAAACGCTACATAAATTACCTTCAACAGCTCATAGATGTAGTATCGGATGTCATAATCAGTCAACGTCGGATACAGCACCTTAAAGTCTGTACTGTTAACATACTCAAATATCAAGCTCGGTGTTTTTGAGTGTTGATCTCTGACAACATCAAGCAGCTTGACAATATTCGGCCCTCCACAGAGATTCTGAAGTATTTTAATCTCTCTTCGAATCTGTAAAAAGATCATATAAATTCAGAAAGGTAACCCAAAATCAAAACTGATTAAAGGCAAAACCTTTTCTTTCTATTCTACTACACTAAGGTGAATTACAGCAGCAAAACAACGGAAAGCGACTAAACTCGATATAATCCTAACATTCATAAGTCACCAACTGAAGTAATGTAACACACTCACCTTCTTCTTCTTAACAGGCTTGAGAATCTTGATAATGCACTTCTCGTTGCTATTCATGTTAATCCCCTCAAAAACCTCACTGTATTTCCCTCTCCCCACCTTCCTCACTACCTCGTAATCATCTTGCTCGCTGACAACGAAACACATAAAAAGCTCAAAACTTTTAACAAAAACATCATCACCCATCATGCTCAAAAACATAAATAACCAACAAACTCTCCTCAAAAACAAATTTAAAACCAAGAACATCACCAGCTAAACAAAAAGCTCAATTTCTACATTACAAGATCCAATTTGTAACTGGATTAGCTTCCTAGGGTTTTCATAATTTCGAAAAACAAAGATCTTACCCCCACTGAACATTGAGAGATTCATAATCCCAATAATCCTTAGGTCGGATCACGTTAACATCGGTATAAACACGAGCTTTCGACATCGCTCCTGTGACGGAGGAAAGAGAGATCTCGGCGAGAGAATCGGAATCCAGGCAACGATTGAAGCTGATACCAGAAACGTCTGATTCAACGGTTCCAGTGGCGACGCACGTTAACGGTGGTATAGGAGAATGCGCCGTTGGCGCACGTAAGATCAAGATAGCGCACAATAACAAGAAACGTCGAAGAAAGTAGGAGAAGAAGAAGATTAGGTGCATGTAATCATTCAGTGCACTCTCCCGCGGTGGATTATTTCCCTTAGAGCATCCACAATAGGGTAGATGTGAATGTGGATGTAAAAATTTTTTTATTATTATAATTTAAAGAGAGAGAAAAAAGAAAGAGAAAGAAAGAGAGTGTCTTACATCCGAATGTAAAGTTACATCCGAATGTGAAGAGAGAGACAACTTTTCTCTTATTTTCGATTACTTTAATGGTCACATCCGAGGAAAAAATGCGCCATTGCGCATGGCCTTAGTGGCTTACACTGAATTTTAAGGAAATAAACGAATATTTAATGACTTGTCACCAAAACGCTGCGTTTTAATCTAAACATTAGCGTTTTTGTCTAAACCCTAAAACGTTGCGTTTTGTTGATACCCTAAAATCTAAGAAGCTTCGACATCGATTTTGTTATCCACCGTCATCGTTCTGCTACGCCTCTCTCTCTCAAACTCTCAGGTAAGCTTCTTCAATTTTCTTCTTATTTCATTCAATTAGTGCTTTTGAATCATTTCTACACTTAAAGTTTGTCCCTTTTTGATGAATTTTGTTGATTGATGAACTCTAATTATAAAAGTTTTCACCTTTATTAGTCAGGATTGAATCGTAGTCTAGTTGATTACTGTGACTTAGAAGTTTAGAAACCTTAATCGTTGTATTGTTTTACAGTTTTGTGAATTAGGTAACAATGGGGAAGAAGAAGTTTATTGATAAGAAAAAGGCGGCGACTTTCGAGTTGTGTCCTCGTGATACGTCTGACCCAAGATACAGTGATGCACCAGGTGGTGATAAGATCTTCTTACGAGTTGATCAAAACCCTGTTAACATCAATGGTTTCATTGAAGAAGAAGAAGAAGAAGAAGAAGAAGGAGACAGCTCACGGTTTGAAGATGCTCCTGAAGATTTGCCTTATGGTTACTCTAGTTTCGGGGAATCGAGTATTAATCCTTTACCTGCTCATGTGAGGAAGGAGATTTTGGAGTTAGGGTATCCTGATGATGGTTATAATTACTTGGAGCATTTGAGAGAGATTAAGAATACTGGTGGTGGTTCTAATTTCTATGCGAATCCTAAGTTTGTTGTTGATCAGTTACCTCGTGATGTTAAGGCTTATGATGCGTCTCGTGTTAAGATCTCTGGTATGGTGAATGAAGAAGGTAATGATAATAAGTTGATGTATAGTGTGGCGTCGAAGACTGTTAATGTCAAGGTGCAGAAAGCTATTGATCCTGAAGTTGCTGCGTTGCTTGAAAACAGTGATGGGTCTGAGTTTGGTTCTGATGTTGAGGATTTGGAAGAAGATTTTGTTATTCAAGCTAATCTTACTCAGCAGGGTGAAGCTTCTGGTGTGAGCAATGTTGAGTTTTCTGAAATTCCTGAGGCAAGGAATAGAGAAAGTGATAAACCTGTGGTTGAAAACCCGAGAGTTCCTCGTCAAATTGATGAGCTATTTGATCAGCTCGAACTCAATGAATATGGAAGTGACAGTGACTGTGATGGTTACATAGCTAAAGATGGAGAAGAAGAAGACTTCATCGCTCAAGACGTTCAGAATCTTATTCATGAGAAGGCGAAAGATTATGAGCTTGAAGAAAAATATATGAACCTTGCAGATATATTGAAGAACAGTGACTCTGTTAAAGATAAAGAGGAAGTGAACACTGCTGCTCATATTATCCGCCGAACTGTGGAATATGGTGAAAATTTTGATAACGGGAATGAAGATGAATTTGTAGAGCTGACTGAAGAAAGCAGTGACGAAAGCGAGAAGTATGATTGTGATACTATAGTCTCAACATACTCCAATCGCGATAACCTCCCTGGTAAAATCCTTGCTGCAGAGTCAGTCAGGCAGAAGAAGCTGAGTGAAACAGTAGCTAAAGCATTGAGTTCAAACGGCAGAATCATTACTCTCCAAGGGAGAGAGAAGATTCCTGTCGAGTTTTTACCTGGTAGGAGAGCTGAACAAACCGATGTCAAATCGGAAATCCCGAAAGCTGAACCGATCAAGAGGAAGACTCATGGTCAAGAGTCGAAAGAAGAGAAGAAAGAGCGAAAAAATGCTGTAAAAACCGAAAAGCGAGAAGCAAGGATAATGAAGAAACAGACATCTGAGCTGTATCGCTATGAAACGCTCCGTGCTCAGAAAGCTGTTGCTTCCTCTGGTCCAAAGTCGAAACATCTATAATAATACTGTTACGAAGGTAAAACAAAACAATTCTCAGACTGTTTAAACCAGTTTTTGAAGTCACTTCGTGTAATATTTGCTGTGTTTTTTTTTCGTTTCATCAAGATTTGAAAATCTTGAATCTTTTTTTTGGATGTAGACGTTTTGAATATTATTTATTACTTTTACTAGTCAAATTTCGAGAAAGTGATGGAAACAGAAGACACCATTTTCTTGCAAAAATCTGAGTTGTGTCTCCGATGAGAATTTAACCTCTGTTTTTTTTCTTCAATCTAGAAGAATCTTTGAAATTTATATTAGACCATTAAATTTTGGAAATATATAATAAGTTGACACAACCAAAAATCTTGAACTTGATTAAAAGAGGCTGCTAACAATAGAAGATTGCCGTCTAGGTTAAACGACTCTCTAGATTGCTGTCTCTGCCCCATCTTTTCTCTTTAGCTAATATCGTCGATCAATATGGCCATGGATAATCCCTTCTTCTGTAGGATCTCTCTCTATCTCTTGCTCGAAATTGTTTACTGCAGTTACGTGTTTTGATTCGGTTTTTCTCTATTCGATCTGTAATCAATCGTCTAATGATTTTACCGGATCTTATCGATCTAACATAGCAAATCGATGGACCTAGTCTATTGACTATCTTTTCTTTCCACTTGGTAAATTAATTATGTATGCGTTTTTCTTATTTGTAAAAACCTCGCAGGGGCAAATACTAAAGTGTTTGTGGACGTCGATGATTGCCCAATCCCTAATGGTCTAGATACTAGGGAACTTTTGGTGAACATTAAAACGTCCCTTGAGAATCAGGGTTATTTTGGTAGGGTCACTGTCAATTTTTATGGCAGAAGAGATCGAACGGAATGTATCACTCAGTTGTTAGATGTGAATATCTTCAACACATTCCCAGGTAAATTCCTAATTAAAATATCTTTCACTTATTTCTTCTGTGTCTTGATCTGCGTTATATATGGTTTCAGGAACTATTGCTCAGAGACGTACGAGAATCTTTATTGATTTGCTTTATCGAGCGACTGAGACCTATAAACCACAGAATTTTTTGATAATCATGGGAGACATCTCAAACCACAAGGGGTTCCTCAAGAGTATTCACAAACTTAAATCGAAACGACGTTTCAATTTTCTGTTAGCACAGCCCCACAAGGCTTCCGAGGAGCTACATGATGCTGTAAGTACAGAATGGCTTTGGGAAAGCCTAACAGCTGGAGGTGGCCCTATCAACAACTTAAGCGAAAGCGCACAACAATTCTAAGTTTTAATATCTCTTTCGATGAATGTTTTAAGACTTATTGTTACTTCTGTATTGTGACATCTCTTTTTTAGTTAAGAGTTGCAAAGCATGGAATATTTAGAGTTGCTGTAATACTTCTGGTTGATTGCCTTTAAATCTATATTATATACACCGTATTTTGACAATGTAAACTACACACTTTTGTATGATCTCAGAACTTAAAATTTGACTTCGAAGAACGAGAGCCTTCCTTCCCACCAAAACATCTCTTTTGGTTATAGTAAATCAATAGCCTCCTCAGCTGTAGGAAAGAACTGCAATGGAGTTACCAGTCAGATCTGTCACAAGAGTCTTACAGAAAAGGAATGCGTGCACCAGCCAAGACTTTGCTTCATTTAAGAAGTGTCACCCTGAGATGTAGAAGAAGACAGCAAATCATTAATTAATCAGGTTCCTTCAACCATGTGTATGCACTTTGACAGAAAAGATGGTATCAATTGGATAGGAGGACAATTATGGTCATCAAATGGGAAAGATGCAACCTGAAGAATGCAGGAAGATTAGCGATGATTAGCTTCAACTTCAAGTTTTATCGTATCGTGGCATCAAATACTTGGAGAGTTATTCCTCTTCCTAAAATACTCATTTAAGCAAACCAAAACCGCAGATACACAAACAACACAGCAACTGCAGAAGAAGGCCAGTATCATTTATGTTTTATTCTGGATTTGTGTATCTCACACATGTTAGCTTGTTATTTAGACTAACCTATGTTTTCGGCTGGCGCCAACCGAGAACTTCGGGGATCTGTCTTTTTTTTCTTAATCATTATATAGTTCATTCATTCTTCATTTACGTATGTTTTACTTCCACAGTTGGAAAGCAAAAAAGCTAGTATAAAGTGCTAACAAAGCTTGCACATTCAAGAATCTCAACCTCATTTATAAATATTACTATTAGATTTTGTAATAGTTTAAGATAGTTATCATATTTGGCCAAAAGTAAAAGTAGACATGAAGAAAGCCAATTAAAAAGGTAATAAGAGTCAGAACTGATTTCAAAGTGCCAAACATCCAAAAACATTAATCGTTTACTGGAAAGAGAAGCCACTAAATGCGTCTTCGGCTCGCAAAAGTAAATGTAAACACAACCAATGCACCAACAAGAAGGAACCCGTAGTATCTGCTACCACCTAGGCAAGTATAGTCACGAGGATTGGAAGGTTTGTATATCCTTTTGATTCTACGGGATTCGCCTATTGATAGGCTTTCCCAAACACTATTAGTATCTCCAGGAAGTGTTTCCAGGGATGGTTCGTCTTCAGGCTGTGCCAAGAGAATATTGTTACCCGCCATATGCAAACGATTCATACCAAATGCAACCTCAAAGTTTTGGGAGATGTCTCCCGCGATTAGCATGAAATTTGCAGTTGAACGATTTTCAATTGCTTGGACAAACATGTCCAATAAAATCAACTCAAGTCTCTCAGTTCTATCTGAAATGATATATATCAAGACATACATTAAAAGCGTGGAAAAAAGAAATTTATAAGCGTAAAAAAAGAGTGTTAGGTTAAGGAATTCAGCTCCGGTTGTGTGGCTGAACACGATCGCGGGTGAATTTTGGTCCCCATCCGCATAGATGGATGTCTTGTCGTCTGAAACCATATATCTCAAGATAAAGATGACATAAGTACAAGGGAAAGAGTGCAGGAGGGTTTAAGGAATTTACCACAAGGAGTTTTCTCGATTGCGGTTGGTTCAAGGTTATCCACGATCTGCTTCCTATCACCATAAGCATAGATGGTCACTGCACCAAGATAATTCATTTTCTTGAGGGCCAATCTAATGTTATTCGAAACCTCAACAGCTTTATAACCATAGGGGATTCCGCAATCATTCACATCCCAGAAGACGATCGTTTCTGCGTCTTTGAATCGCTTCGCATAGTAAGTTTCCCGATCATCATCACCCATGGAAATTACAGGGAGAGAGGGATAACAAGATAAGAGAGAGAGAGAGAGAAATAAAGGGTAGGCAGCTAACCCTAAAGAGACCAAGCAGATCTTATTTAACCTAATCGCAGATTCTTTTCTCTTTTTTTTTTTTTTTTTTACACTCAAACTTGCTCACTACGTCCATTAAAAAAAAAAATTTTCATACCCGTACAATCTGTAAAATGTGTTTTTCCACCTTAAAAAATATGTAGGGCTAATTCATATCGAAACCTCTAAAAAATTTTGAATTTCATACATAAACTTTACATTTAGATGACCGTCAAATCGTACAGCCCGGATTACGTTTACGTTTAGAAATTTAGGCTTTCTTCACTGATCGTCAATCTCCATAGTGGAATTCCTTAGAGGTTACAGGTGAACTTAGCCTAGTCGATTCCGATTCTAACTCAATTCAAGTCAATATAAATAACATATATCACTGTGATGACTTATTTTTATGCACCATCAAAAAAGACACTAGAATTGTGGTTTGGAACCCGTATACTTAGGGCTGGGATTCTGAACCGAACCGATTTGTCCGAACCGACCCGAACCGAGGTTTGGGCAAATCGGTTCGGTTTCTATTTGTTAAACAAAACCGATCGGAATACATTTGTAAATATTTCGGTTAACCGAGATTTTTGGTTAACCGAGATTTTTGGTTCGGTTCGCTCGAACCGAACGGTTAACCGAATACAAAAAAACACATAACCTAACCTAATAACCCTAGCCGACTACTCTTCTTCTTCTTTGATATTTCATTTCTCCTTCTTCTTTTCTTCTTCTTCTTCGATTCTTCTTATCTGATTCTTCTTCTCCTTATTTTCTTCTTATTCTTCGATTCTTTTCTCCGATTCTTACCCTTCCTCAATTCATCTTCTCCAGAATTATTGAAAACCTCGATTCATCTTCTCTGGGATCTTTTGCACTGCGTCGAGGTTGTCGTTGACGGCGTCAAAGGATTCAAGGAGAGCAGCGTGTGTGCGAGCCGCCGGTTAGGGCAGATCCGTTCTCTCGCATCCTTTGTCGATCGGAGATAGATGCTTCACGAACGGCAGATCCGTCTTCTTGCGACGGCTTCTTTCTCCAATGACCTAACTGCAGAAACCGAGCTAACCGAAACGCCAGAACCAACAAAAACCGTGTTCGAACCGAACCGAACCGAAGTATTAGTCGGTTCTATTTGGGATAGGTTTCATTTTCCGAATAACCCGAAAAACCGAAAAACCGAAACCAAATAAACCGGTCGGTTCAAAGTCGCAGCCCTACGTATACTTGTCAAACCAAGTGGATCCAAACCGGCAAAAATTATTACAACGGTCACGACTTTTTTCTTGGATATTACCAAGACAATAAATCATGTGATAAGAGCTACAAGGGTTATAATTATAACGATCAGGAATTCAAAATTTATGACATAAAATCTAATTTATGGAGGAATCTTGATGTTACTCTGATTCCTAACTACTACTTTGTGTATTCTTATCACCGCGTATCTTTGAAGGGAAAGACTTATAACAATGTTTTACCCAATGATAAAAATTTTTCTCAAATCTTTAATATTTTTAATTAAATTGTCGTGTGTTGTGTGAAATGCAATGATAAACCCCAACCGGTTGAAACAGTGTCCATTTTTGGGGGAAGATAGTGTTAATACGAGAATATGAGCACACAAGCAATTTCACGAGGTTTGGTAACGTGCCTAATCCTCAATAACTTTCAATAGAAATTGTTTAGACAATCTTACACCAAGCTTTGCCTAAATGGAACTACTCAACACTAAGACACCCCTTAGTTGACACCAATAAATTCTTAATGAACTTGAGACACTTAGCTTAACACCTAATCTAAGAATCACTCTCTTTCTCTCAAAAGCAAAAGCTTAACCTAATCTAAGAATCACTCTCTTTACACCACATATTAAATGTAAAATATCCTTATTCATAAATTAATGAATATTCCCTTTGATTTGAAGTTATCTCCACGTCATCTTCCTTCCTTGCTGGAATCTTTTTGTATCCAGACATTCATGTGTAACACAGCTGTGTCCTATTCCACTTTGTGTTGCGTCCTGATACCCTTTGTACCTTCATTCTCCCTTTTTTTATCTGAGTGTGTCAACTCAAGCTCATTAATCAAAAACTCACTCCCCCTGCATCTTTGCACCATGTTCTCCCCCTGCTTGAGTGCACACTTAGGTAAAAACCTAAATACTTTTTGCATCAACAATCACACAAGTATTCTCATTACTTTGTGATTATGCATTCTTCTCTAGTTGAACAGGAATGTCTGGCACAGCTTTATCTTGTGTCACATGATACTGAACTGAATCTTCACCTTGAATAGACTTCACATACAAATCTTGTTTTGCTATCCATATTGCATTGTATCTTCTTGGTTCAATGAAACATTTGTTCAGCTGCCATGCTCGTTTGATACTTTCTTGCCTTTTGACACAAAAAGCTACAACGTGTCCAACACTGCCACAATGAATACAGCTCTGTGATTGTCGAGATGTGATGCTCGTCGCCTTATGAGATTGATCATTTTTCTTCAAATCACCGTGTAATGTATTACAACTCATACTTACACCCATCATTTTTGAAGCATCATGAGCAGGTTCATGTCCTTGTGCCGTACAGAGAGATGTGCTACCAAGAACAAAATTACTCAGTTTTTCTGTGTTTTCACTAACACGAGTTGATATTCCACGATATCCTAGCCCATAATGATGTTTCTCAGTTCTTCCCATGACTAAAATTTGATCCAAATTTGCTGACCCATTGTTTAGCATGTGAATCTTCTTATGATTCTCGCTCAGCTCATGCTCCAATGATTTGCTTTTCTCCTTCTCACATTGAACTTCCTCCTGAAGCTTGTTTATCTTCTGTTCCAGAACACTTCTGTCTGCAACAGAGAACTCACACACTGTTTTTCTGGATCTGTTTTTAACTCCAACATGATCACCTTGACTTCCAACATCCTATTTGTCTTGATCAACTGAATGTTATCATTGCTGATTTTAACCCCAACTGTCAAAAAGACTTCTGAATTCAGCTTGAACGTTAATATCTTGATCACTTTCTGAGTCACTGTCTGTTGCGACAGAAATCGTCTGTGGTACACAAGAACCTGTAGATTCATGTTCTTTGTTTTCTTTCTCAGATTTCATACATCCATGCAAAGCTACAAGGTTGAGTACGTCTTTTTCTTCACATGACTTTCTATCACTGCCACGTTGACCCATCTTCTTCATCATCTTCTTCTGTGAGCTGATACATTCTCCTTTTGTATGACCATAACCGTTGCACTTGTTACACTTGATTTCTTTTTTCTTGAACGATGGACAATCTGATTTGATATGTCCAAAACCATGACATTTATAACACTCAACATCATATTTGTTCTGTCCTTCCTCCTTTTCTTTTAATCTGGTTGTCACAATCTTAAACAAAAGATCTATGTTCTCTTCAAATTTATGTATCATCAAGCGCATAACTTCTTCAACTTTCAGTATCTGTTGCTTGTCTTCATCCACTGTAAACACATGATCCTTAAGAAGTTTAGGTGAGTTAGAATCCATTTCGATCTCTTCAGCCTGTAGCATCCCTTCTGTGTCATTAAACTTGAGCTCATCCATATTCTTTGTCAATTTTATCACAGTTTTCAAAGACAAAAACTTAGGCGGCAAGCATCGCAAAAGTTTTTTCACCAATTTTGCATCTTTGTATCTCTGACCTAACACTTGTGCTTCATTCGCAATGGAACTGAGCCTAGCACTGAAATCCGCTATCTTCTCATCATCATTCATCCGAATATTTTCAAATTTTGATGCAAGTAACTCTAACTTTGTTCTCTTAACGTTGTATGTACCTTCAAAGACATTTTGCAGTATATCCCACGCCTCTTTAGCTGATTCACACCCTTGTATCAGTTCGAATTCTCTTCGATTCACAGATTTGAAAATTGAGTTCAACGCCTTTGAGTTAAACTTAGACATCTTTTTCTCTGTTGCAGTCCACTTTGTCCTTGGCTTAGCCTCTAATTCTCCATCCTCGGTTGTCACATATGGCTTTTCCCAACCACACGCAACAGCCGTCCAAGCGTCTTCATCGATGTCACATATATTGGTCTTTGTTCTCACTTTTCAATACCCATAATTCGCACCATCTAACAATAGAGGATTGTAAACATCGAGTAGTTGTGCATATGACTCCATATTCTCTTCTCAGGATCTTAACCTGTATTGAGCTTATACTCAGGTCGGTCACCCGCTCTGATACCACTTGTTAATACGAGAATATGAGCACACAAGCAATTTCACAAGGTTTGGTAACGTGTCTAATCCTCAATAACTTTCAATAGAAATTGTTTAGACAATCTTACACCAAGCTTTGCCTAAATGGAATTACTCAATACTAAGAGACCCCTTAGTTGACACCAATAAATTCCTAATGAACTTGAGACACTTAGCTTAACACCTAATCTAAGAATCACTCTCTTTCTCTCAAAAGCAAAAGCTTAATCTACTCTAGTTTTTCTCCTCTTGACGGCTAAACTAAACCTAACGTGACGTCTCTCTCTTTATTCACAAGAGATCATGTTTACACCACATATTAAATGTAAAATATCCTTATTCATAAATTAATGAATATTCCCTTTGATTTGAAGCTATCTCCACATCATCTTCCTTCCTTGCTGAAATCTTTTTGTATCCAGACATTCCTGTGTAACACAGCTGTGTCCTGTTCCACTTTATGCTGCGTCCTGATACCCTTTGTACCTTCAGATAGTAATGCCACACGAGTGCATTTACCAGTATTGACAATGCCTTCACATTGGCCATTTTTCGTTAATTATGTTCCAAGTTTGAATCAAATCCAGCAACCGGAGGCAAACGAAAAAGAGGCGAATAAAGTACATTTTTTTATGCTAGAATTGTCCGAAATGTTTTATGTTATGGCAGATTTTTTTTATATTACGACAGAATTCAGATAGATATAAAAAAATCTGTCATATGATGACAGTTTTATCGATGAA